TAATAATAATATAGCGCCAACAGTTTACTCAGCGCTTTACAATATAACGGGAGACAATACAGCAACAATACAGTTCAATACAAGAGGGATAGGAGGGCCCTGATCCTTGGAGCTTACAATCTAGGAGGGAGGGGCTAGTGGTACAAAAGGTAGTAACTGTGGGGATGGACTGGTTGGAAGAGTAGAAGATTCCATTATTAGCTGAGGGCAGGATAGGCTTCCCTGAAGAGATAGGTTTTCAGAGATCGCCTAAAAGTGAGCAGTGTAGGCGATAGTCTGATAAATTGGGGTAGAGAGTTCCAGAGGATGGGGGAAGCTTTGGAAGAGTCCTGGAGAGGAGCATGGTTGGAGGAGATGACAAGGGAGCTAGAGAGCAGGAGGTCATGCGAGGATCGGAGAGTACGGTTTGGGTGATATTTGGAGACAAGATCGGTGATGTAATTTGGGGCAGAGTTATAAATGGCTTTATACGTTATTAATGTTTTGAATTTGGGCAATGGGAAGCCAGTGGAGGGATTATTAATTATTAATAATAATACTGCATCTGTTATGATTATTATTATTATTTCCTCTGAACAAATTGCCGTAATACTTACGGTATTACATAAATTATTATTATTATTAATATTATGCCCAAGCAAATTGCCTTAAAATTTATTATATACATTATTATTATTATTATTATTATTGTTATTATTATAATTATTGTTTTTATTACTATTATTATTATTACTACTATTATTGTTGTTGTTATTATTATTACAACTATTGATATATTCAAGGAGAAAAATAATGACTTGATGACAAAGGTGGTACATTTTTCTGCCCCCTCTTGTGTCACTAAGCATCATAATGGTTCTCCAGGAATGGTTATTGAAGGTTTAGAATGAAAGGTCATCAGTGCTTAATCTCTATTTAATAACCAGTGTGCTACTAGCAGAAGACTGGGGGAGATCCTGTGCCAAGATTCCCATTTCCCGGACCACCCCTGTCCCATACACATGACAACTGTTTACATTTCTTGGCTGGAAAATCAAGACAGAGGAGCTAATAATTACACTGGCAGGTCAGTCACTCTGCGATCTTACCGCTCATTAGTGTCATTTATCATAGGCATCTAAACAGCTGTCACTTAATGTGTTGCAGGGGCCCCCCCAGCCAAATGGAAAGGACTGTAGCCTCACCCATATGTGATAAGTTCTGTATGGAGAAATGAAGGATGGACAGAGGGATGAAGGACAAGTTTTCACCAGCCGTTGGTGTTTACTCTGCCATGTTCACAGGTTCTGTTTTAGTAATGTCTTCTGAAATGCCTTCCACAGTTCGAAAACATACAACATACTAATCATGTCGGTAGACAAGTACTGTAGGGAAATTAGACTGTGAAATGCAGTTGGGCATGGACTAATGAGAAAGGCTCTTATAGCACAGAGGCCTTTAAAGGGCTAATTTACTATAACGTTAGCGCTCTGAAGAACCATTTGTGGTGAATTGCTTTTCAGATGGTGTTTGATAGGAAGTGTGGAAATATTATGTCACCTCCTCACTGCCTATTTTAACCCCAAAGGCCAACACCTACATACCACAACTGCATGCATTGCATGCGGTTCTGGGCATGTTCCAGCACTGCCCCATTACTTGAATGGGTTGTGTTTAACCCCTTGGCGCCGGCCCTTTAAGGGTTTCAGAAGCCAGGAGGCGGGGCACGGTTTTAAGGTCATGTGACCGCCGTGATTCGCCATCACGGCGGTCACATGATTGGGAATGGTCCTGATCGAAAGAGGAGATCGGGACCTCTCCGTGAGTACCGGACATGTGTGCTGGGAGCGTGCAGGGCACACGCTCTCAGCACATATGTTTTTCTTAATTGCACGCAAATGTGCGGCCGCTCGGCGTCAAGGCCCAGACACTGGGAGGCTGCATATTTGCGTGCGGCCGGCGTGAAGAGGTTAATGAAAGGCACACCCTGTCGAATGTGAGAGGGGATTTAACTCTTGCTCTGGACGCAGCATGTGTACACCCCCATCCAATGCCTTTGTAGCTTAAGGGCTCGTTCACACTTGCTTTGGACTCTGAAGATCTATTCGCATTCAGATCTCTCTTCAGAGGGCATTTGACAGGCATGAAGAGGCACTATATCACCTCCTCATCCCCTGCTTTAACCTCTTAGATCACCAAGCAAGTTGCAGAGTACTTGCAGGGTGGCCCCAGACATTTGAAACAAATAGGAGATATGATTTCTGTATGATTCTTGCCGAAGCCCATGTACACCTCTGGCCACTGTCTCTGCAGTTAAACCACAGGTTTTTACTGCCCCCAAATGCATATTTAAACAAGCCCTAAAAGAATCCTACTACAATATACAATATAAAGATGGCAGCTGCCAATCTCTGACTCCTGGGCCACACACTACTTACAGGATATTGAAGCTGGTAACCTCTGTCTGAGGAATCTGAGAGTGGTATTTTTCATTACGACAGATTTCCAGTAAAAAAAAAAAGCAAAGAAATATAATTATAGCTAAAGTCAAAACTTTTTTTTTATTTTAGTTTTGGGTAAAGTAGGTGATGGTTATTACCTGTTGGTTTTTTTTTTCAGTTTTTTTTTCTCAGATTTTTGCTAATGTATGCATCCTTTTCAAGAGATTTCTCTTGACTTACTGTCCCAAAGACAAAACAAAAAATAAAAGAAAATCACTTTACATCACTTCATTACACTTTTTTCTTCGTTTTTCAAAATTTTTTTTACTTTTCATTTTTATTTTTATTTTATTTTTAATTTGTTCTTTCTTTTTTTTTTGTTTGTTTATTTTTATTTAATTTTTTCCTTGACTTATTCTTTGATTATTTCTTGCCTGTTTTCTTCATCACCCATATGAGGTCTATTAAGTTACTGCCTCCATGATTAGATTGTCATACACCTGACATTTATTTTTTCCAGTTGATGCATTTAACCTCCCTCTTTGCCTGGAATCCCCATGATTAAACTCTGGGGGAGGAGCGAAATGCGTTGGGACCGTGGCATGGCCGGAGCCCAGGGCTGAAACTGCCACATACTCCTCTACAGGGGACTTGCAGTGATGTGCAGCTTAAGGGATTTTATTCTTCATCATTAGGACAGGCGTCACCCTCGGAATATTCCCTTTTTTTTTTTCTGGTGACAACTTTCTGTATCATTAGGTAAGGTCTTCCCAGTGGAGACATACAGTGCCTTGAAAATGTTTCCAGATTTTGCCATGTACAACCAAAAAACGTAAATACATTTTATTGGGATTTTATATGATAGACCAACACAAAGTGGCACATATAAATACAGCTGTTCTGTGAAGCCCTCAGAGGTTTGTTAGAGAACAATAGTGAACAAACAGCATCCTGATGGCCAAAAAAACACACCAGACAGGTCAGGGATAAAGTTGTGGAGGAGTTTAAAGCAGGGTTAGGTTATAACAAAACATCCCAAGCTTTGAACATCTCACAGAACACTAATCAATCAATCATCTGAAAATGGAAAGAGTATGGCACAACTGCAAACCTACCAAGACATGGCCGTCCACCTAAAAACTGACAGGCCGGGTGAAGAGAACATTAATCAGAAAAGCAGCCAAGAGGCCCATGATAACTCTGGAGGAGCTGCAGAGATCCACAGCTCAGGTGGGAGAATCTGTAAACAGGACAACTATTAGTCGTGCACTCCACAAATCTGACCTTTATGGAAGAGTAGCAAGAAGAAAGTCATTGTTGAAAGAAAGCCATAGAAAGTCTTGTTTGCAGTTTGGGAGAAGCCATGTGGGGGGACACAGCAAACATGGAAGAAGGTGCTCTGGTCAGATGACACCAAAGTTGGACTTTCTGGCCTAAATGTGTGACGGAAAACTAAAACTGCACATCACCTTGAAACACACCATCCCCACCGTGAAACATGGTGGTGGCAGCATCATGTTGTGGGGATGCTTTTCTTCAGCATGGATGGGGAAGCTGATCAGAGTTGATAGGAAGATGGATGGAGCCAAATACAGAGAAATCTTAGAAGAAAACCTGTTAGAATCTGCAAAAGACTTGATACTGGGGCAGAGGTTCACCTTCCAACAGGACAACGACCCGAAACATACAGCCAGAGCTACAATGGAATGGTTTAGATCAAAGCATATTCATGTGTTAGAATGATCCAGTCAAAGTCCAGACCTAAATCAAATTGAGAATCTGTGGCAAGACTTGAAAACTGCTGTTCCCAGACGCTCTCCATCCAATCTGACAGAGCTTGAGCTATTTTGCAAAGAAGAATAGGCAAAAATGTCCCTCTCTAGCTGTGCAAAGCTGGTAGAGACATCCCCAAAAAAGACTTGCAGCTGGAATTGCAGCGAAAGGGGGATCTACAAAGTATTGATTCCGGAGGGCTGAATACAAATGCACACCACACTTTTCACAGATTTATTAGTAAAAAATTTTGAAAATTATTTATCATTTTCCTTCCACTTTACAATTATGTGCCACTTTGTGTTGGTCTATCACATAAAATCCCAATAAAATACATTTACTATTGGTTGTAACATGACAAAATGTGGAAAATTGCAAGGGGTATGAATACGTTTTCAAGGCACTGTAGACACCAACTAAAACCTTCCCTACTCTTACCTAAACTAAAAATAAAATATTGTTGTTTGGATTAAAAAAATAAATAAATAAAATAAAGTTTTGGCTTTACACTTTCAGCCCAACTGAAGTCACAAAATAGATATGTAGTCTATTGCGCTAACAACCTCCATTTTCATAATCCTTCCTGCACTTTTCTATTACAGTAGTTACAGTATGCGCTGTGTCTAAATATGACTGTGCGGCTCAACAGGCACCAGAGTTTGCTCCAGCGCTCTCTGCAATGTTACAGAACTGGTCAGACACACCCTCTCCCTTTCTCTGCAATACAAGTCTACATAAGGACATGGGTTCAGAGGTGTGGCAAACACTCAGCTCTGCTAGCACAGGGCACTGCTGTATGAGGACAGGAAGCCACACATGGTTGGAAATCCAAGAGACGGAAGTATTGTTGTGTGATTTCCGCTCACTGGTGCCTACCCAACATTCAAATATCAGTCTTGGGTGGTCTGACCCATTCATTTCCTGCTATGCCTGAGCACTGGAAAACTCATTTTTAAAAATGTTTCATTTAAATTGACCCAGGGGCGGACTGACCATTGGGGAACTCGGGCACTGCTGGGGAACTCGGGTACTGCCCGAGGGCCCGGGGTCAGTAGGGGGCCCCATGAGATGTCCCTGGTACCTTTCATAGGCTTTTTTGGGTGTGGGCGAGGACACAGGGGCCCCATGATACCCTATTGCCCGGGGGCCCCATGAGTTGTCAGTTCGCCCCTGAATTCACCCCATCAATTTAAAGTTCACCATCAATGTAAAGCCATGCACATCTATAAACTTCGCCCTCACAAATGTACTAAAAAATTTAATTTTGTTTTTACTTAAAGTGTTACTAAACCCACAGCAGTAAAATCAGTCTGTATATGCTGTAAAGCATGCTTGTTATACTCACTGTGGAACCTAAGGGGTTAATCCTCTGCATTGTGTAAAAAGGTCATTTGATTCCGACTTCTCTGCTCCTCCTCTTGTTCAAATGTCCACGTCTTATCTCCTGATAAGACAGACTGAACCGTGGCCATTCTGCACATGCTCAGTTTACTGTGTATTGCTAGAGAGGTTTTTTTTTTCTTGGGAGACCAAACATAGTGAATGCAGGGTCCTGGGTTTAGTAACACTTTAAAGTGTTAATAAACCCAGGACCCTGCATTCACTTTATCTGGTCTCTCACAGTACACAGAACATGGAAATTCAATTATTTTAGTAAATATAAACTGCTAAATACCTTTTCTCATCAGCAGTATATAGCTATCTATCAGTGTCCAACAGAGCACTGGTTAAAGCTTGTAGGAGGAGTTTTCTTTCTGCTCTAGGAGGGTACAGAACCCCTGACCTCTGTCTGTACAGTGCAGATTAGCCCTGTGATGATCACATGCACTTGCCCAGGAAAAAAAAAAACCTCTCTAGCAATACACACTAAAATGAGCATGTACAGAGTGTCAACACACATACGTCTTATCAGGACATAAAAGGGAGACACTGGAAGAAGGGGAGGATCAGAGAAGTCAGGATCAAACAGCATTTTTAAACAATGTGGAGAATGAACCCCTTAGGTTCCACAGTGAGTATAACAAGCATGCGTTACTGTATATACAGACTGATTTTACTGTTGTGGGTTTAGTAACACTTTAGCTAAAAAGAAAACTAATCTTGAAGGAGATACACAGGCAGCCATTCTTGATCCTTTTGAAAATGCTTGTTACCTGGCTGCCCCTGGTTTCAATGTTTTGGAGTCTGTTGCCCTGCCCTGAAAAGCAAGCGAGGTCTATGTAAAGTCTTGACATTGGATCTGCCTATCTGTTTCTGGATCATCGACTAAGAAAGAGTTGAAGTAAGATGCTCTGCTGTGGCATCCTATGTATTTCTGTTATGACAGGTTTCCTTTAACACTTTCCCTGCCACTGATGTAAGGATCTGCTATAGCAGCTGGGACATGTAGTATTTCTGTATGAGGGTAGTGGCCTCTGATGGAAGATATGCCCTGGGCATGGCAAGGGAAATACACATCTTAATGTACAGGCGTACCTCGGTTTACGAACGCCTCGGTTAACGTCATTTTCAGTTTACGGATGAAAATCCATTGAAAATAATGCCTCGGTTTACAAATTTTTTTCGCAATACGAACGGATTAATTAGTTTTCAATGCATTTACAATTTTTATTATAATCAGGTCCCTGTACAGTATTTATGCCTTTACTGCTAGCCTACAGGGCACTTATACCCCTTCCTGCCCAGGTCAATTTCCAGCTTTCAGCGCTGTCGCATTTTGAATAACAATTGCGCAGTCATGCAACACTGTACCCATATGACATTTTTATCATTAATGTGACAGATAGAGCTTTACTTTGGTGTTATTTAATCACCTCAAGGTTTTTTAATTTTTCTTAAATAAACCAAAAACCACTGAAAATTTTGAAAAAAAAAGTTTTTTCTTAGTTTTTGTTATAAAATGTTCTAAATAAGTGCTTTTTCTCCTTCACTGAGGTGCGCTAATGAGGCTGCACTGATGGGCACCGTTAGGCTGCACTGATGGACACTGATAGGTGGCACTGATGGGCACTGATGAGGAGGCACTGGTAGATGGCACTGATGGGCATTGACAGGTATCACTGATGGGCACTGAAAGGCAGCACTGATACATGGCACTGATATATGGCACTGATAGGCAGCACTGATAGGTGGCACTGACTGGCACTAATAGGCGGCACTGACTGGCACTGATAGGCAGCACTGACTTGCACTGTTAGGCGGCACTGACAGGCACTAATAGGCGGCACTGATGTGCACAGATAGGCAGCACTGACTGGCACTGATAGGCGGCACTGACTGGCACTGATAGGTGGCACTGGTTGGCAGCACTGATAGGTGGCACTGATTAGCATTGATAGGTGGCACTGACTGGCACTTATGGGTAACACTGAAAGGCAGCTCAGATGGGCACTGATATGTGGTATTGATGTGGCACTGATGGGCACTGGCAAGAGGCACTGATGGCACTGACATAAGGCACTGATGGACACTGACGGGTGGCACTGCTGGGGCTACACTGATCATCAGGGCACACTGATCATCAGTGCCCTGATGTTCAGTGTACATGTCCCCTCTGCGGAAAGCCGATTACCGGCTCTCCTCTCCTCTTCTCTGTCAGCGTGACAGCTTGTGGGGAGAGAAATGCCGATAACCAGCATTTCCCTGTTTACATGCGATCAGCTGTGATTGGACACAGCTGATCACATGACCGAGCTGACATCTTCAGCTCTTTCTGTGATCGGTGATCTGCTGTGTCCAAGGGACACAGCGCACTGCCGATTCGCCACACTGCGCGCTCCCTGAGAATGGGCGACATCATATGACGTCCTCCCAGAGCGAGAGAACCACCTTGCGCCCATCATATTACTATATGGCGGGCAGGAGGTGGTTAAAGTGCACTTTATAAAGAGTTTTGAACAGATAAAATACTTTTTTTACTTTTTTCTGACCTCCGGAACATATTAATTGGTTTTCAATGCATTCCTATAGGAAACCACGTTTCGGTTTACAAATTTTTTTTTTGCAATACAAACTGATTAATTGGTTTTCAGTGCATTTACGAATTAATTTTTTAATCATGTCCCTATACAGTATTTATGCCTTTAAAGTGCACTTTATAAAGAGTTTTGAACATATGAAAGACTTTTTTGCTTTTTTCTGACCTCTGGAATGGATTAATTGGTCTTCATTGCATTCCTATGGGAAACCGCGTTTCAGTTTACAAATTTTTCGCAATACAAAAAGTCCCGCAGAACGCATTAAATTCGTAAATCAAGGTACGCCTGTATATGTAAATCCAAAACTTTTCCTATAGTTATGGATAGAGTAGGGAGAGGTAAAAATTCTTGTAAGGTTTTCCTTTTGAGTCTCAGTAAGGAGATTTGCCTTTATTTTGAGTTACTGAGGAAGTAAAGGGAAATCGTTCTAAAGCAGGGGTCTCCAAACTACAACCCAAGGGCCACATCCAGCCCACCATAGAGAGAGAGCTATGGTCAGTGGCGTATCCTCAGACTCAGTGCATAGACGGAGGATTCAGATCAGCTGGTCTCCACTTCTGATGGGGACTCTGATCTAAGGGGGGAATCTGATAAGGAACTTGACAAGGTCTCAGGTGTGAATGGGGAGCAGGTGTATTAAATTTGGTGTTATCGCTCTCGCTCTCTCATACTGGTCACTAGAAGTTCAACATGGCGACTGGTTGACCATGGCGAGGCCTTTTCTGAGTGGAACCTGTCCTGTTAAACCACTGTATGGTCTTGGCCACCGTTCTGCAGCTCAGTTTCAGGATCTTGGCATTCTCTTATAGCCTAGGCCATCTTTATGTAGAGCAACAATTCCTTTTTTCAGATCCTCAGAGAGTTCTTTGCCATGAGGGTGCCATGTTGAACTTCCAGTGACCAATAGAGAGAGTGAGAGCAATAACACCAAATTTAACACACCTGCTCCCCATTCACACCTGAGACCTTGTAACACTAACGAGTCACATGACACCGGGGAGGGAAAATGGCTAATTGGGCCCAATTTGGACATTTTCATTAGGGGTGAACTCACTTTTGTTGCCAGCGGTTTAGACATTAATGGCTGTGTGTTGAGTTATTTTGGGGGGACAACAAATTTACATGTTATACAAGCTGTACACTCACTACGTCACATTGTAGCAAAGTGTCATTTCTTCAGTGTTGTCACATGAAAAGATAGAATAAAATATTTACAAAAATATGAGGGGTGTACTCACTTCTAGGAGTTACTGTATATATGTTAAACTCTTTCATTTGCTGCAGTGTACACAACTATTGGTACTATTTCAGCACATACATCTACGTTTTGCTACATATACATTTTGCTCTGTCCACTGCTGTTAGCTCCGCCCCCTCCATGGGGGGATGGGCGGGGGCGCAGTTTATCATCTTCTCCCTGGGAGCTGGATGACCTTGTCTCAACACTGGCAGAGACTTCCTCTCCCGCACTGAAGAAGCCTTCCAGTTGGGTTGGATTGGGTTGGATCGGCCAGGCCGCACTCCTACTGCTCGTTCCAGAAGCTGTCATCATCGCTCCAAGCTACAGAACCTCTGCTGTATGCATAAATAGGCCTGTTTGTACCTTGTTGGAACATTTACAATATACAGTTGACCTTACTCCGACTTTGTGCGTTCTCTGTCGCTGATGCACCACTCCGCACCCTGTTCATACATACATTTTCATTTTTGGCCCATAGCTATTTGTAAAATATACAATATCACCCTTGTACTGAAAAGTAACGAGTTGTCACCAAAACAGGGGCCCCATTGGAAGATGTCTAATATAAAATGTATCAAAGGTAACAAAGGTCATCAGAACAAATAGAAAGGGTGACGTTCCCCAGTAGAGATAGAGACACAATTAAAAACCTGATGGGAGTTCCAACCCTTCCTTACTTTATAAAAAAAGTTTGGACTTTTGATGCCCTTTAAAGTTTTTTCTTTCTCATTTAGCACAATAACAAGCAACCCCAATCTAATGTCTGTTTGTTCTCAGTCTGCAGCTTGGAAACAATAAGCATTGCAACATGGCAGCTCCATAATTAGTTTTGTTTGCTTGGATATTAAACTAAAGCCCCTTCTGGTTGGCAAATACGACCTTACTTACAGCGTAAAACAAAAGCTAACTGAAGAAACGGGTGTTTGGAAGCTCGTCTCTAGCAATTTCTCTTGTCCTTGACCTGTATCCCTGAAAATGTTTCCTATTCTGGTGCACTCTGTCAGATGAATAGAAGTGAAGGAAAACCATTGAGAAAGAAACAAAAACATTTAGCTAGGGTTTTCAGTTTTAATTAAGCAAAGAGACAATTACTTCAAGATGTGATCTTTCTACTTCTACGTGGAGATGCGCTAATTAAATTGCTATGTGACTCTCTGTTCTTTCTTTACGGAAAGGAAGGAGCTGCAGATTGTCCCAGCAATTTTCAGTAGTTACTGGCACTTAGGCCAGTTAAAGGGTGTGGGGGGAATATCTAAAAGGGATGATCGAATCTCAGCAAATTTCTTCTGCTGCCAGTTTGGTGAAGTAGACATTGAAATATATGGACACCCCCATTGTGAGTAGTTAAGCAAGTCACTTAAGGTGGCCACTGTTTACCTAAGAGTGCAAGCTCTACGTTCTTCAC